GGTTTTGTTTCTGTAATGGTGGTTTTTCTAAATGTAAATGAAACATGACCTAAAATGACCAAAATGGCAAGATGATATTACACCACTTTTGAGTCCAAATGATCTCTTCATAATATAGAAAGGTGCATGTATGTTTTGCACATTGGCACATTTTAAATAATGCAATGGGCAAAATTCTCACCCACAACCTGTTCAGTCACAATTCAGCTCCAACCCTGGAAGCAGTGGTACCTATGACAGAACAACAGGAGAACAACAGCATCAGTCATTTTAGAAAGTGCCTCAAAACTGTGAAAAAACCCTGGGATTAATTGTGACAGGGGCAATGGGGGATGTCGGAAAACCTCTTAGCAAGGGGGTCAGTGTGGATGGATGCTCAACACAACGATGGACTTTAAACACAGGAGCCGAAAGTCATTTACTTTCTTTTCTAAGTATAACCACAATTGTTTCTAACTTTGACCATGTGTTTATTATTGTAGCCATGGCGACAGAGATCTCATAACCTTTACAAAACTAAACCATGATGTTTACTAAAACCTAAACAAGCAGTGTATGTGCCTAAACCTAACCAAACCTGACAAAGAACAGATTTATTTTTCAACCCAGACTTGTACAGGTTTTGGAAGGCACAGACAATCACAACAATCTTTTAAATTTTTTTAATTATTTAATTTGAAGGACTTGTTGGAGAGAATTAGCTTTAACTTTTTTGTGCATCTAACTTCAACTTCTTCATTTCTTTAACTGCCTCTTTGTTACCTGTATAACCGTATTTGCTGTAATGCAATGTTTTATTATCCTTTTGCTCTACTGTCATTTTTTTTATTGTTTTGATGCTTCCCTGCAAAAAGATTTTTTCTCATGGACTGATAAAGATCTAAACTGGTGAAGCTTTCTTGCACGTGGCTGGATGTGCTTGTCCCAGCCCTGCAGAGGGAAATAACACTGACAATATCACAGGGGAAATGACTTTTTCCAAATTAAGAGTTTCTACTCAGAGAGAATAATTTACCTCTACAGACAGTGGGAAACATTTCTGCTGAAGTAGGCTGCTTTCAGATGTTTTGCTGAGGATATCGATTCCTGAGGTTTTCAGTGGCAGGCACTATGGCACAGGTGTAAGTGTGAACAGGCCAAAGACTAAGTTCGGGACAAATTCTGTAGCTAATATTTAGCTGCAATGGGGCACAGTTCACCTGAGGGACTGCAGACTGAGCTTCATCTTTACCCATAAAAGGGCTGCCGCTGATGCCTTGTCGAGACTTGACAAGATGCACACACATACCATCCAGAAAATTACACACACACACACAATATTCCTGCTTCTTGTCCCAACCCATCTTCACCTCTCAGCCCCATTATCACAACTCGCTGTTTCCTCTTAGTCCTTTTTAAAAATCTGATCTTCTCTGCAACACTTCTTTCCATCTCAAGAGAATGAATCATATCATTTTTAACCTTTGCTTCCAGCAGACAAATGTCAGCATTTTTACTCATCTACTGAATTTCTACCACCCAGTTATTTGCCTACAGTAGGTGTACATTGTCAAGGTTACAAGAAAATAACATGCGATTGTACTGGGATCCACTGTAGCGTCAGTACACTGAGCAGACTTTGGGCTTGGACATGACTAGTTGATACTCAAACCATCTGAGAACGCTGTGGATCGATCTGTGATTGGCTCTGCTGCAGGCGAGACTCACACAGGACCCTGGGTTTCTGTTCTCTAACCTACGGGAGATGTAACCTCACAAATACCAGGAGTATTTATGGAAGGCCTGGGTGTCATGGCAACTGGGGGATTGCGTGCAAAATGCAGAGGGGAACAGAAAGGCCAAGCTATACACAATAACTGATTGCACTATATTTAAAGGGGAATGTCAACCAGTTGAAAAGAATACATTTACAGGCTCTTTCTCTGGCTTGTGGCAGCTGTCAACAATACAATATTAAAAGTGAATATGTCACCAGATCCTGAAACCACAGATCCAGGACTTTTCTTTTGCAGAGGCACATTTTAAAGGGGAAGGCAGTGGGTAGAGCAGTTGTCTCCCAACCAGAAGGTTGAAGGGTCAAATCTCGGTGCCTGCAGTCCACATGTCAAAGTATCCTTAGGCAAGACAACACAAGAACCCCCCCCCCCGTGCTCCCCGGTTGAGTTGCCTTGTGTGTAACATACTTGGCCAATAAAGGTGATTATCCTTATCCTTAAACCTTCAAGCTTAAACAAACTCAACTACTATTTTAAAAGTTTCATTGTTGGACTTCACTGTGAGTCCATTCTCAGTCTCTGTTTCCACATCTCACTTGTGTACATTACATAATCATGATCATGACTGGCTCCAAACTGGTTGATCTGTCACAAAATCAGGTGCAAACAACAATCTATTGTCAGACTGCACTGACATCATTCAGCATAGTGAAGGAGAAACATCCAAGTAAATTGACTTATAAAGCACTTTACACTATTACACCCATTTCCGCTCACAAACATTCACACACTGATGATTTCTCTGGGAGCAACATGCGGTTCATTTTGGTCCTAAAGGCCCTTTAAAATGTGGACTAGGAAGCTGATTGAACTGCCAAGCCTACAGTTAGGGGACGACCCTGCTCTTCCTCCTGAGCCACAGCCGCCCCCTGTGAAGTAGCAATAAACACAACATGTTTTTGATCACAGGAGAGATTCTGTACCTTCAGGGGGTAAAAGCTCACATGAACTGGGTATTTTCTATCTATCGCATTTTTATTAAACATCTTTCAGCTCTAATTTTTTTTTTTTACTTAAGCAAAGCATACAGTAAATACCTACACACTGACAGCAGCAACTAGTTGTATTTTATAGCAGATTTATCTGCCCTAAACAGTCACTTAGTCATGACAGGATATTTAATTATCCCAGTGTTTGCCCAATAATATGTCTTCTCCCATCATTGAGGAAACAGTACTGTGGATCCAAAACAAGTTGAGAGCAGCGATGAGGATCTCAAACATAAAGACTTTAGTACGCTTTAAATAAAGTGTTTGCTACGCTCATGAACAGTATCTGAATTACTTTTCAATGCTCACTTTTTTCCAAACAGTTTGACAATCACGCCCACTCTACGTATGTTTGCAGAGGTGTTCAAATGAGGCAGGATTTCATCTCTATTTCTGTCAGTTTATGTGTGCACAGATGAGTGCAACATCATGAATACCTTCCCAGAGAAACAACAGTTCATCAAGAAAGCCAAGGAAGAGAAATCTTGAGGCGAGATCGGTGTCTGTAACAACAGGTCTGTTGTCCTGCCCTGAATGTGGCACTTTTACCTTTAGATGGCGTTGACATGTCATTTGAGCTTAACCATCTGAAGCATACTGGAACCCTTAGACATTTGGTAAATCCCAATTCCTTTATTTGATCGTTCCTCAGTACTCAATCGAAACGTCTCAAAGCTCTTATTCCTGTTCTGAGGAGCAAGGAGCCATGAGAGAGGACACGAGTGCATCTTTTGCAGAAGTTTTTTAAGGACCAATACGTCTCTTTATCAAAAATCAGCTGGCGTTTGGACACTTCAGATGAAGGATCAGAGGAAATGATGCCTCATGCCTCTTTAAGCGTGTTTGCTGTTCCTCTCTCCTCACTTTTTTCCTTTCATCTTACATTGGTGGGACCAAGACACAAAGAAAAGATGCAAGTGAGCAAAACATGGATTCACCTAATTGTGTTGCTGCTTCCCAATCCAGTCTTTCGATTGGCCAACCAATGGAGGACATTTACAGTGAAACAACTGGAGCCCAATATAGCGTTTCTCACCCACGATAGTGATTCCTCCCTAATGCAGAAAAAGCTCGGCTCCTTAAAGATATATACGATATATATTAGACATATGCCAAAAACTAGTTAAAAAAAAAGAAAATAATCTTCTGCCTGCTTTGAAGAGCTTGACAATAATGTTTGAGAGTGTGATGCAGGGGGAGCTGCTACTACACTTTCAGCCACAGCAGGAAGCAGATGTTTTCAGTGAAGACTAAAAAGCTGTCGTCCACTACCTGCTCAGGGTTACAGCAGGTAGTGGACGACAGTCAGAGACCAGCTGGTGAACAACTGTTTGAACTCCTCCCCTCCAGACGGCACTACACGCCACTGTACGCCAAGACAACCAGACACAAGGACAGTTTCTTCCTCCGGACCATCACTCTGATGAACATTTGAATCATGTTTATATGTATAACAAGATACAGCAAACACCACAGTGCAGCAATTTTAGATGTAACCACTGTCCATAAAATAGCTCATTTTTAATGAATATATTTAGAGATAGATGGTTGTTTGTCATCTTGCTTTTTACTTGTTTTATTTGGCGCACGTCAGGGGCCATTGAGCTGAAGTCAAATTCCTTGTATTTTAACATACCTGGCAATAAAGTTTAAGATTGATTGACTGATGATTGATTATAAATACTGTGTATGGTGGATGACATTTTCAGGAAGTCGGTGACAAGAGTGACTCAGAATAACTTTTGGTGTTAAAGATTCATGTACAAAAATCCTTCATTATTCAGGTTTTAGTGATTGTATCCAAATGCTGATTTAACATACTGTAAATCAGACAATACATTAAAATCTGTTGAGCATGTCTACCTCATTTTGTGTAAGCAATTCTTTTAGCTAGGGTCATCTTCTAGATGGGTCGCCATGGAAATTAAATAAATCAAAATGAGTGGGTCTGTGCACTCTCACATCCTAACAATGTTCAATTTTTACTCTTACTCATGTGAAGAATTACTGTCTGATGGCAAATGGACCACCTCAGCTCACACAGACTGTTAACAGGCTAAAACAACATGAACACACATGGTCACAGGGACATATACTGTACCCACAAGGGCTCATCTGCTGTCTCGGGACTCAGATTGTGAGCTGCACATCAGACCGCTGCTAATTAATCACCCTCTATCCTTACACTCTGCCTTCCTCCTTCCTGTTCAGACTCTGTCTCACTGTCCTGGTGTGTTTCCCCCCACCCACCCCACTCGCTTGTGCTCTCACAGACTAAATGTTTATCACCGACCAAGTGGATGCTGTCAAGAAATAAACAACCATCTCATTTGGTGATTGCTTGATGAGATGTAATTAGGTGTGTCGACTGGAGACTAATCACGAGAAGTCAGCCGTCCCATGCTAAAGCATCACTCTCAAGGAGGCAGCCTGGGATTAAAAGGGAGTGACATTAGGTGCAACATATACACAAAAACCAGTACTGTTTAATTAGATATTTAAATACAAAATGGTAGCATTAGAATTTGTTTCAGATGGTGGAAAATCTTGTCTCAGTATCTCGACTTCTCCCTCTCAGCACACACGATATATACTATAAATAATACACAAATTCAGTTGGTTGCTTTTGTTAATTTAATATATCAGGAAGAAAATGGACAGTAAACTATCAGGTTATGAGAAATGTATATGAACATGAGTTGGTCATTATGCCCTTGGCATGCAACTCCCTGACAAAGGTCACTGTTTCAATGAAACATCCTGGAGTAAAATGTCAGGACATTACTTTTTTTAATTCACTTTTTTTTTGAAAAAGACCATCCTGGTCATGACAGGTGGCGTCTGTGTCAGCAGGCACCAGCTGATCTAACTACAATATTGATTATGTGTTGAACTGTTTTGTGTCCAGCTGGTTCCTGTGGTAGAATAAGACATTTTGTTTTTATTCAGTCTCCACCCAAAAACACACCACAAACCTCCTCAGTTACAGGATCCAGTAAGTTGTGGTGCTAAACCAAAAAGCCAAATTAGCCTCACTTGCTCAGACATGTTCATTTAAATAAAAGAAAAAAAACTTGGGGCAAGAACACGTTAAGGCACATTTTGACACACGAGCAAAGAAAAAATTAGCCTTTGTGGCAAAAAAGAAATGGAAGTGTGCAAGAAACAAACAGGAAAGTGTGTCAAAATAAAAATCCTTAAGTGCAGCACAAACAGATGTGACTAAATAAAGAGCATGACCAACAACATGGAAGCAAGAGAATGAAACGTAAACAGGAGCAGTAATCACAGAGAATGTCTTCCTTACCTCTGGGCAATGCTGCTTCCACAATAGTCCATGTAACATCCCTGTTCAGCCGCTCAGTGAAGACCCAGCTATTCAGACAGCCACTCAGCCAGCCAGTCAGTCAGTGGAGTCGTGGCTCAGCTGGACTGGTGTCTGGTGCCCAGTAAGCAGCAGCAGCCGAGGCGTCCTCTGTGCTCACACAAACACTCGACTACATGCAGCATGACAGCAGCAATAACCCTCCCATCCACCCTGAATTAATTAAGCCTTTTTGCTGTCTCTGCTGCCCTCCCTCTCCCGCGCTCTCTCCTCTCTTTCTCAGTGTCTCTCATTCTCATGTGCGCATGGTTAATGCCTGCTCTTGCTCTCTGCTTCTGCTTCCCCCTGTGTTCAGTTTCCTCTCTCACTCTCTTCCCTGTTTCCGTCTCACTGATCAACAGCCGCAAACGGGGCTTCTGTTCCTCCTTCGTTTCACCTTAAATCTGTCTGTCTTTCTCCTCTCTATGTTCTTTTCTGCAGTGAATAACAAATCAGCAAACAGGAGAAATAATCCAATATATATCTTTATTTGTAATATTGTGCAGAGGACACTAACAAAACTGTGACCAAGGAGTAAAGTGATTTATCAAAGAGTTATCGTTTGTCTTTATTAAATATTGAATTTAACACAAAAGCACAACAGATGCTACAATTTCAAACAGCCCAAAAGAAACAACATTAAAAAACAAATAATTAAAATCTCAATACTGTAAAAACACTGTTTTCTACAGGCATGCATGCATCATGGATCACTTTTGTCCCCCCAAGAAGAACAATACAGTCAATTGCTTCTAGCAGTCAGTAATTATGACAGAAGCAAAAGACTTTTTTAAAAACTGATAAATTCAGCATATGGAGGAGGTCGGGTTGGATGGATCCAACAGCAAAATATCGGATTTTAATAAAGGAGACCGCTGTTCAAACTGAAAATCAGTGTTTCCAGCCTAGAGGGTCCAGTGAGACTCAAACTGACACCATCAGCCACTCCTAACTACTGTTTGCCCCTATCATCATGTCAAGTTTCCTAGTGATGACGTAAACTACGGATGCCTGGTTGGGACAAACTGTACAAAATACTGCCTCCAGTCTGAAGCTAGCGTTAGTTGACTAACAGTGAATGTGTCAGTCCAGTAGAGCACTGTGGTTACTGCTGATGTTACACAAAGCTCCAGTTACTCCCTAAATAAACTCATATTAATTTAATACAATAGTAAAATCATGACCATGCTAGGTTGCTAATGTTACCAAAACAAACATGTTAGATGCTAACACATCCAGAAGGATGAAGGCCACATCTGGATGCTGGTTCAGACTTTTAGCTGCCCAGAGCTCCTCCATGGCTGTTTGACATGACTACTGGTGGCTGGAAAAACCCTTCTTCTAACCTTGGCTAGGCGGCAGGCGGAGCTAATTTACAGACCGTACTTTGACAACACAGGGTGGAGAAGCTGGAATAACAACAGGAGGCTGTAGGCAGCAGAGGGTCATGGAGGGGGGGTGTAGCTGAGAGACACCATGTCCTGTCCCACTGTCACTGGGTTTGTCAGACAGTGTGCAAAATCTTAGTTAATGCACCTTTTCTTTCCCAACAACGTATTCATTATTGTAACCATGGCAACAAAGGTCCATAACATTAACAACTGTTTTAACCAAAACCATGATCTTTCGAGAAGCCTAAGTTGTTTTGTGCCTAAAATAACTTTAACCATGTCCTTCTCATATCATAAAACTGATTTATTTTGGTGTATAGCATTAGAAGGCACAAATAAATGATACCATCCTGTCAACAGGGATGTTATAATAGAAAACACTGCGTCATTCCAGAGGGCCTGGATAAATTACACATTTTGTCATTTAATTTTGATGTCTTGTTGCAAAAGCTCTAGTTAACATAGTTAATACATTGAGGGAGTTCTTATGTTATGTTGCATAGCTGCAGAGTCAGGAATGACATGGTGGGAGCTTTACAGGAGACCCACTGTAGTGTGTATATACCCTACACACACACACACAATGAATGTCAAAATTCAACTTTTCTATGGTTTCCATTAAAACTTCCATACCAGAATACAACTGGAATAAAACAACAAGTTAAAACGTCTCTTTTGGGGGAGGTAAGACGGGTTAAGACGTTCTATTTCCCAGTAATTGTGTCATTTAAGACAGAATCACTGAGAATAGCTTTATCACACACACACACACACACACACACACACACACACACACACACACACAGGATACACTGTAGTCCTCAGCTGGAGCCAGTCCTGGCAGTTATGTTTACTTAGTGGCCACTTTATTAGGGACACCTGTAAAATTTAATATAGTCGTAATTTAATCTAGTTTTGCCAATGCATGTTGGAAAACATAAAATTGTAATAATCCAGAATTCAGTGAGATAATGGATAAACATGGTAGTCAAACAAATCATGATAAAGCACTAGTTTGTGTATCGTACAGTAAATAAATTTCAAATAGCAACAATGTGACACAGAAGCAGCAAAATATGTCAAAACATGTCACACAGTCTCATTCAAAATCTGCCTCTTCTCTTTTGACTGTTCTCACTATTACCATTACATTATCTCTCTCTCTCTCTCTGTTTCCCTTTATCTCTCCCTCACACCCACACACACAGTACATCCTGCACAGTATGTCACACAGCTCAAAAAGTGTCACCACAATGTGTTGGCCTGTTGTTGTGCTGCTGGCTGTTTCTGTAGTGAAGTCATTGATGAATAAAGCCAGAAGCATCCATCTATCTATCAGCTCCTCTAACAGCACTAACACACACATACTCTACTTGTACCAGTTGTCTTTTTTCCTTTCTCCTTCATACCCACGTGGTGTGTTGCCTCATTGCACAGAATCCTGCATCACTTCCTGCTGGTGTAGATATGAGCTAAAAGAGGCAGATCCCCAGAGAAACAACAGAAGCTCTCTGTCCCCTCATTCTCATATTTCCATCTTCCTGTTGCTTGGAACTTAAACTGAGCCTTTCAGCAAATCAAATATCTGTTTCATGCCTTGTTCGTTTGTAACTGATACAAACAGCAGTCAACCCCAGCAGCAGAGAGGGGGAAGCAATGAGCAGAGGCTGTAGCGTAAAGCTGTAAAGCCACGATCCTGAGATGGGAACAGTCTAGGTGATGGAAACTCTGTGGAAGTACAAGCAAAAAAGAGCCCGATCTTAAAAGGGAAACTGGTTCTCCTCAGTAGCCCAGAGGAATGCAATTGTGTTGGAGGAGAAAAACACAATTCACTCCAAGTGTCTACCACTTCCCAAAGAATGTCTGACATTCACTGATAACTTTTATGCACTACTTGGTGGATTTGAGGCAGTCAGAGGAGGAAAGGAGGGCCTGGTGAATGTCAGCGAAGATGATGTAACTGTAGAGGCAAAGGCCACGTTTCGAGAATAAAGTCGCATTCCACTTAATTGACACTTGAAAATCAGCCATCAGGAGTGATGCAGAGAAGGGGCTGCAGCAAAAACAAATGGCCCTCAGCTTAATATGAGAGGCAGACAACAGGATAAAAATAGCAGCACGTCACTTCTTTTGAGATTAAAAGCAGATTGTCTGGCTACTGTTTCCCTGACAGCCCCATTACATACTCACTTAGAACAACTCAATTACTGTAGAAGTCTGCTTAAAAAGAGCTTGTGAAAAATGTTGTTTTATGTCATCTCCTCTTCTAGATAGTTCATATACTAATCACTTTGTCACACACATTTTGACAAGCACTCTACAGTAACGGTTGCCTGGAACATTCATTCTAGGTATCATAGACAGTGTTATACTTTTGCACAAGTAATAAGGAGGATGGGATGGATGGCAAGCATTTGCATCCAAGTTCTGCCTCGGTGGCAACAAATACAAGTTGGGAACACAAGACTTCCAGAAGACCATTTTCTATTTACGCACCCAACAGTTGCACAGGAAGTAGCTGGAGCTGTGTTTCTAGTTATATGGCAAAATTAGGTTAATATTCACTGTCTTTTAGCTCTGCTTTTGGCCTCCACCAACTCCTGAAGGAAATAGGTGATTGTTTAGGTGCTAAATGCTCCATGGGACAATATATTGAAATTCAATGTATCATAATACAAAAACATCACAATATTATCATTTTGTCTAGCGGTATATATGGTGTGGTCGCCATACACCTGGTTGTTCTTTACATAATCAAACAGTGCTAGAAAAGGGGAAAAGGGAGTAATAAAGAACAAGTATTCCAGAGCTAGTCATACACTGTTGCCACTGAATTTATAATTGTATAGTGACTGAATCAAATCGTACACACCATATCATACGTCAAATCGTATTGAGAAAAAGTCACATCATCCCAACCCTATCGGTTATGTTCAGTTAGTCTATAACTGTGCTACTGCTACAGTGAGTTTTCAGCTGCCTGCTGAGGCCAAGACCGTGGGGACAGTGAAAGTGAACCGACAAAGTAACAGATCAGACATTAAACAATGAGCTAAAACTGAGAGGAGATGAAAACAACTTGCTGTAGGTTCATCAGTAAGACTAACATCTGTAAAGCAAATATGATGCCATGTGCAGCAGCCCTGTGCAGAGACAACAAAATCGCCCTGCCAGCACCTCTGAAGCTCAGTATTAACAAGCTCTGTTATTTGTTGTACAAAAACCAAAGGGTAAAAATGCTGTAATGAATGACAAGGTCTGAGGAGGGTGAATTGGTGCTGAAACGTCATCTTTCATTTTAGGATTAGAGTTTCCTTGATTGGCTGTTTTTTCCATTGATCAAACCTGAAGAGCGCGGGCGTGTTATGTGGGCTCAGACACAGGTGGCTTTTAACCGTCCGTGTGATGAGATGGAGGACACGGGGCTGGTTTCATCATCACAGGGACAAACAGCAGTTGCAACATCAAAACATCAGACAGCATGAAAGTGTTGAGACTTTGAGATTGGTTTGTGAGTAGATTTAAAGATGAAGGTCACAAGTCACTTTCATGTGACACCTGCTACAATGAGGAAACAAACGGTAAAGGCTGCATCTACTGCCACAAACTCTGGAGATCCTCTCTGACTGATGAGTTGGAAAGTGCTCCACCTGGGTCTGCACCACAGCTTTTCACTTCCTCATTTTTCTTCATTATCAGAGCACCACTGCTGACATATCACTCCTGACACGAGCACAGTTTCATCATCAGCACTGTTACAGTCATGGACAGCAAGCAGTCTATTGGTGTATTGTGGGCAGTGTGTAGAGTGGGAGTGTCTCACACACATACACACAACTAGACTCAATATAACAGCAGCAAACTGGAAGTGGGAAGCAGTAATAAATGGACCAAGGACAGAAGAGTGCAAGGCAGCTGCATAAGCAGCGAAGAGGGACAACAAGAAG